CCCCAAAACCCCAAAACCCCAAAACCCCAAAACCCCAAAACCCCATAGGGAGTAAATATCCATAAATAGAATTACAATGAAATTCGGGAATAATTAATTAGTAAAGTATTAGAGAGTCTATTTTCATTCCTATCTTGATGATGCGATTGTGATCTATGTAGCTTATGAATTATTTAAGTTTGAATATAAAGTCTTAATCTATGTTCAAAATCTTTTATTAATCAGAACTGATTCTTCTTCTGACATATCCAGCATCAGTAAATCATCTTGCTAGTCACTGTATCGATTATTCTATAGAATTTAATGATAAAATGGTATCTTACTCTATGTTTAGTTGGATTGCTATCACTTCTCACATTAGCAGTGTATCCCATTGTTCCTCCTCTTTTTCCTAAGCCATCAAAGTTTTCTCTCTAATTGTTTATATTTTCTTTGTTAGTGATATCCATTTCAGTGTTTAGTCTTAAACTATGCTATTGCTAATTTAACTTTGAAGAACTCATATTATCATTAATATTGGCACCAGTGTTAGGATTAATATTGCAAATGTTGTAATTTTCTGTCAAGACTAAGTTATCATAGTTAGGACATTCAGACATTGTTGTAATAGCATACTGATGATTGTAAAATGCATGAGAATTGTCAAATGTTCCGAAATGCTATCCCTATCCGTTTTGATTCTTTCCTGATTAAGAGATTTACCCTAAAGACTTCTTCTAATTACCCAGTCTTGATTAGTTTGAATTCAAAGCGTACATTGATTTGTGCGCCATGTGCTTAATAGCTCTTTGTGTAGCTTGGTTGCCTGAGATTGATTGTGAGTCTTATAGGCCAGAGTTATATTGCTCAGTTTAAAGATATCCATGATTATATTACTCTGGGAGTTTTTTCATATTTTCTAATGAATCTTCTTCTAATAATACTTATTATCTAGAATGCAAGCTTTCAGCTCTAACTTTTGATTAAATCTTTCCTTTAGTTTGGCTGGAAGATTATATCTAAGATTATTCATCCAGGAAATCTGAAAATATTTCGTTTAAATTGTTGATTTATGGTCTCTCTTGAATAGTCTATTGTTAATGTTATTATGAATGCTACTTGTTAAAAATTAATGCTTGATCTTAATTGCTTGTAAAACTTTATTTCATAGAACCATGAGGCTTGGCCTGATTACTTTGGACCAAGTTTTCTCTCACTAATTATCGACTTTATGCTGGAGTTTTTTCATTTCTAGTTGTCTGATTATAATCTTCTTAAATAATTTTTACAAAAGCATTATCTCTAAAATTTTCTTTAATCATATCTCTATGGGCCTCCTTTGGCTAAGATTTCTTTAACGCATTTTAAGGTTAACTCTGTCCGTTTAAAGTAGAGTACATATTTACACTTTTTCCTCCCTTATGAACTATTTTCTTTGTTTACTTATTAAAGCCAGAAACCTGGGGATGATTAGAAGTTTGACCAAGCGATGAACCTGGTTTAGTATTTTAATTTTAATATGAAGTAGTCTAGGCTGGGTTACTTCCAGTACTGCCATTACAAAAGGTTTTCATTTTCTTCATTGAGTTACCTCTGCTTAAAGAATTAACTCCACCGGTATTAGTATTTGTTGAAGTTGATCCAGTGTTAGATTATCCTTAATTTGGAGCTATTTAACCATTATAATTGAAGGCTGTGTCATTTACTGAATGCTTCTTCACTTAAAAATGAGTGATAGGTATAATATTGCTGCTACTGCTTGAAGGTTACTTTTTGTGGGATTATCTATTAGAAGTTATATAGTTCTAGAGGTAGTTACTTGTGCTTTGATTCACACCTTAGTCCTTATTATTTTATTGATACACAGACTGCTGCATAATCTTGCTTTTTCGATTCAGTTTACTATTTGATTTTTGACTTTGTTTTGTAGAACTCTTTGAATTATTTCTATTGTGCTGGCGATCAGTATTCATTTACATTTAAGATTCACTGCATGATTAATTCAGTTAAACCACTTCATCATTTTCGTCAGAAGGTTAGACATATATAGTCTATGCTGGGGAACTTATCAACCTCTCCAGTGAGTTATCAACATCTGATCTTATAATTCTAATAGGACTACATGTAGAGTTTGTCTCGTCCTTTTCCTAATGATAAAGATACTGCTGTGTTTTAGCTATCATGAATTCCTCTATTTTGTAAGGACTTATTAAATCTGTAATTAAAGTATTGTGGGGTAATATTGCCTTGCTATCTTTGTTTGATAGCTAGACTAGGCAGTATTGAGAGACATCACATTTCTTCTATTTAAAGATTTAATATGCCTGAATTAGAATGTGCTTCACTTTTATTTTACTCTCAGAAATCTTGAACTTTAAACTCCTCTCACTCTAGAGAGTACAATCGTAATATTTTACTAAGATGTGACCATAATTATTGAGGGTATGATTTTTTAGTAGTTTAATTTGTCTCAATACTTTTTTTCGCTCATGAATAATTGTTATCCCTATTTCTATTAAGTTTTTCTCATTTAGCTCTAACAAGTCAAGTCCATTTATGTGATGCTTGAGTACCTATTTAGTTAAATCAAGCTGTCGCTTTGGTAATAGATGAGAGAGAAACTTGCAAACATCTTGGATTTACCATTCAGAAATATTATACTATCCTCCTAGACCGGAAATTGAATTCGCGGACTACGACTTTTCTTGTTGTTACAAGTTGCTCGATAAAGACATTTTATGAATTACTTTTAAATTTAAACGAATATGAATCAGGCCTGAATATATTATTAAAATAATAATTCAAAATTAGTATTATGTCAGAGGAAAGCAATAATCCATTTGACAATCAATAAAGAATCGCATAAGCTCATTAGAAGCTTAAGGACTGGCGAAATAACCCAAACAGAAATAGAAATTCTGAGCAGGAAACTGAGCCTGATTAAGACCGCTAATCTTAAGATTACGAAGACATTTAACTAGAGTTGGCAGACTTAAGCCAGTCAAAATAGTAAAATCCTGAGTTAAACAATTCTGCCCGAGGTCGAACATCTTTGCGAACTAAAATTATAGTAGACGAGTAATATAAGCAATTTTATGGCGGGGAGGAGGATCCGAGAAACTAAACCATAATTGAGAATAAAAAGATAGATTTAGGGATGGGCGCATTTTAAGGAGTTTACTTACCATGCGTGCAAAACATCCTGAGTGTGGTATTGTTTCTCAGAATCAATCTTATTGTAGGAGAGGCAGGAATCTTTTAAGCCTTTGCAATATTGTTTTTTAGCACTACAACAACTTTCTTTACCGTTCTGTCAATGAATGCCATTGCTACAAATGGTAAAATTAGAACTGGTGGAGTTTACTATCTTATATCAAGATCACTTGGACCTGCAACCGGAGGATCTATTGGAATTTTGTATTATCTTGCCTCTACATTTGCCTCGGCAATGTCGATTCTAGGAGCTATTGAGGCAATTCATGTAGTTTCAGGATTTAGTTTATTCTCTTTTGCTTTTAGCATGAGGTTTTTCTCGTTTTTACTGCTGGCCATTCTTGTTGTAACTGTACTTTTTGGAGTAAAAATGGTAAGCAGACTTGGGGTTATTTTGATAGCCTTAGTTTTTGTCTCAATTCTATCAATGATTATCGGACTATTTGCTTCAAAAGCTAGAAGTGAAGAGCTCTAGAGCTTAGTTCCAGGATTAACTGGTCTTGACGGATAGAATTTTAGAGATAATTGGAGTTCACACTATCAAGCTAATTCCTTTTATACACTTCATGCTATATTTTTCAATGCTTGCACTGGTATTTTGTAAGGAGCAAACAGTTCTTCAAATCTTAGAGATCCAATTAATGCTATACCAAAAGCTACACTTGCTGCTCATTTATCAACTCTTGGCTTGTACATTATACTATTCCTCTTATATGGAAGCGTTGGTACAAGATCAGCACTCACTGATCTGAAAGTTATTATTTCAGCAGAAATCGCATGGCCACATAGATGGATTGTTTACATCGGTATTATTTTGTCTTCTGCAGGAGCGGCACTCTAATAAATCTAAAATGCCCCAAACATTATTAACTCAATTGCAGATGACGACATGTTACCCAAAGTTTTCAATTTCTTAAAAGGTCATACAAGAAAACCTTTAGGATTCACAGTTACTCTTATTGCAATATCTATATGTTTTGGTAGTATTGATGAAGTAGCTCCCCTTGTCACAATCTTCTATCTCCTATGCTATGGTGGAGTAAATATAGCTTGCTTTTTGCTAGATTATCTTGGATCACCTAATTGGAGACCAAAGTGGAAGTATTATCACAAGGCCACAGCATTTACAGGTGTGGTATTTTGTGTCGCCTCAATGGTAGTAATTTCCTGGTGGGCATCACTTGCATCAATCGTAGGAGCACTTTTAATTTATGCCTATCTTGATAAGAAAAGTTAGGAGAAAAACTGGGGTGATGGTGTTGAAGGAATAAGATCTGAGAGAGCAAGAAATGCTTTACTTAAAATAGACAAAAATAAAAAGCATGTTAAAAATTGGAGACCTCATTATTTAGCTTTAGGTTACATCAATGAAAAAGGAAAAATTACATCACCAGGAATTTTTAAATTGCTACACTAATTACGTAAAGGTACAGGTTTAGCTATCTATGGTTGTGTCATAAAGGGAGATTATAACGCTGAATCCTATAATGAAGCGAGAAAAAAAGAAATCGAGATAGATGCTTTTATGAAACGAAACAAGTATAATGTTTTTTCAAAAGTAATAGTTTCTTAAAACATCGAAAATGGTATGGTATATCTGATACAGTCTTCAGGCTTGGGAGGATTAGAACCAAATACTATACTTCTAGCTTGGCCTAATTAATGGGAAGATGACGAATTGAAGTGCAACAGATTCGTTAATCTAATTAATCATGCTCACACATTCGGGCATCTGCTAACAATATTGAAACCTTAAAAGGAATTTGATTCTGATGAGAAGCATTAAGGTACCATCGATATTTGGTCATTTAACTTTGAAAAAGGTATGCTTTTATTGTTCGTCCAAATCCTAATTAAGAACTCTCACTGGAAAAGATGCACTGTAAGACTATTTATTATGACCTCACTTAATGAAAATGAATCTGATACAATGAAGAGAGTGGCGAGAGAATATTTGGATCGTTATCGACTTTTACAAGAAAATATTTACATCGAGGTAGTGCATGTGAGCATCTAAATGATTGAATAATTCACTTAAAATCTGAACTTAACTCTTGAATAAAAGAATAAGTTGTATCAAAAAGCCATATAGGAGGGTAATAAGGAATTTTAATATGGCACACTTCCAAGTCTTATGAAACTTAAAGCGCTATAAGAAAAAGAGAGAAAGGCAGCGGTTGATAATCAAATCAAAAAAGCTAACTTAACTTAAGATCATGACTAGGATTAGGATGAAAAAACTTTGAATGCAAGATAGATCAATCAGATTATTTTGCAGAAGTCAAAGGACGCAAGTTTGGTGATTACTAATTTACCTCCAGTATTAAAAGGTCAAAGTGCTCAGGAATATATGAGCTTTTGCTCATTAATGACTGAAAATTTGAAAAGAGTATTGCTGATATAGAACTCAAGTCAAGAAGTGCTAACTCACTATAATTGAATGGGTATTGATTGATTATTATTAGCATTAGAGATCATAATATATAAAATAAGGAATATTAAGTATTTATTTTGTTTAAATAGAAGAAATAAGTCTAATGAAGTGTAGTTATTCTCCGAGGTCCCTTTTGAATAACTGCTCCATTACAGGAACTTCCTCATAAGGCTGAGGCACCAGAGATAATTTCGACCAACTCCATGGTAATTCTAGCCTGTCTAGCTTTGTTATAGAGCAAGTTGAGCTTTTCGACGATTTCTCTTGCGTTTTTGGAAGCGTTCTCCATAGCATTCATTCTTGCGCTTTGTTCAGAAGCAGCATTGTTGAGGAAGGCGATCCAGAGGTTTGAAGTCAAGTAAAGTTCATAGAGAGCTGGGTTGCTGGTGTTCTTATCTGGGAGTTTTTGGTTGTAGAGTCTAGCGAATTTCATAGTGTCAAGGAATCTCTTTCTTGGCATTAGTTCCATTCTTCTAATAATTTGTGAAATGGCTGACTTGAATTCATTGTAATAAACAACAATTTTGTCGTAGCCTTCACTGTCTCTCATAACCTAGTCAGAAATAGCCATAATTGTTGGGTAATTGCATGGGGAACCAATATCTGAGATTGACATCTTCAACATATCTGGGAATGGTCTAATCATAGCCATAGATCCCTTCTCTCCTACGGGCATGATTCTAATTTTTGATCTGTTTTTGTCCTTTACATATCCCTTAATTTCCCTAACGATGTTGGAGTTGATACCACCACAAAGACCTCTGTCTGAGGTAAGTGGAATGATATACTCTGATGAGTCGTGCATGTCTTGAACTGGAGCCTTTCTTTGAAGATATGAGTCGCTCTTGAAGACCATATCAACTGAGTTAAAGCCAAACCTCTTACCAGCTTCGAGTCTAGTAAGTTCACCTCTCATTTTAGATGCAGCGACCATCTTCATGGCCTTGGTGATCTTCTCAATAGACTTGACAGACTTCATTCTCATTTTGATTTGTTTCTCATTGACAGCGAAACCTCTTCTAGATTCCCTAAGGACAACTGAAGATGTTTATAATCTCTAGATAGGCTTTGAGAACATCTTTTCTATTAGAAATATTATTATTTAATTAATTATATATACATATTGTATTTAAATATCTATTAGTGGGGTTTTGGGGTTTTGGGGTTTTGGGGTTTTGGGG